CCCCAAGGGAGAACCCCAAGGGAGAACCCCAAGGGTGAACCCCAAGGGAGAACCCCAAGGGTGATCCCCAAGGGTGATCCCCAAGGGAGAACCCCAAGGGTGATCCCCAAGGGAGAACCCCAAGGGTGAACCCCAAGGGTGAACCCCAAGAGAGAATTCCAAGGGAGAACCCCAAGGGTGAACCCCAAGGGAGAACCCCAAGGGAGAAGCCCAAGGGTGATCCCCAAGGGTGAACCCCAAGGGAGAACCCCAAGGGAGAACGCCAAGGGTGATCCCCAAGGGAGAACCCCAAGGGTGATCCCCAAGGGAGAACCCCAAGGGTGAACCCCAAGGGTGAACCCCAAGGGAGAACCCCAAGGGAGAACCCCAAGGGAGAACCCCAAGGGAGAACCCCAAGGGAGAACCCCAAGGGTGAACCCCAAGGGAGAACCCCAAGGGAGAACCCCAAGGGTGATCCCAAGGGTGAACCCAAAGGGTGATCCCAAGGGTGATCCCCAAGGGAGAACCCCAAGGGTGAACCCCAAGGGTGAACCCAAAGGGTGATCCCAAGNGGGTGAACCCAAAGGGTGATCCCAAGGGTGATCCCCAAGGGAGAACCCCAAGGGTGAACCCCAAGGGTGAACCCAAAGGGTGATCCCAAGGGTGAACCCCAAGGGTGAACCCAAAGGGTGATCCCCAAGGGTGATCCCAAGGGTGAGTCCCAAGGGAGAACCCCAAGGGAGAACCCCAAGGGTGATCCCCAAGGGTGATCCCCAAGGGAGAACCCCAAGGGTGAACCCAAAGGGTGATCCCAAGGGAGAACCCCAAGGGAGAACCCCAAGGGTGATCCCCAAGGGTGATCCCAAGGGTGAATCCCAAGGGAGAACCCCAAGGGAGAACCCCAAGGGTGAACCCCAAGGGTGAACCCCAAGGGAGAACCCCAAGGGTGAACCCCAAGGGTGAACCCCAAGGGTGAACCCCAAGGGTGAACCCCAAGGGTGATCCCAAGGGTGAATCCCAAGGGAGAACCCCAAGGGTGATCCCCAAGGGTGAACCCCAAGGGTGAACCCCAAGGGTGATCCCAAGGGTGAACCCCAAGGGTGAACCCCAAGGGTGAACCCCAAGGGTGATCCCCAAGGGTGATCCCAAGGGTGAATCCCAAGGGAGAACGCCAAGGGAGAACCCCAAGGGTGATCCCCAAGGGTGATCCCCAAGGGAGAACCCCAAGGGTGAACCCCAAGGGTGAACCCAAAGGGTGATCCCAAGGGTGAACCCAAAGGGTGAACCCAAAGGGTGATCCCCAAGGGTGATCCCAAGGGTGAATCCCAAGGGAGAACCCCAAGGGTGATCCCCAAGGGTGATCCCCAAGGGTGATCCCAAGGGTGAACCCCAAGGGTGAACCCAAAGGGTGATCCCCAAAGGTGATCCCAAGGGTGAATCCCAAGGGAGAACCCCAAGGGAGAACCCCAAGGGTGATCCCCAAGGGTGATCCCCAAGGGTGAACCCCAAGGGTGATCCCCAAGGGTGATCCCCAAGGGTGAACCCCAAGGGAGGACCCCAAGGGAGAACCCCAAGGAACCTGAGGAACCCCTACTGGAGCACAAGCCAGCTCCCGGTGCCTAGCCCCACCACGGCAGCAAGGTTACACCTCTGTGAGTGACATAATTTCCACCTCTTACTTCCCTTCAGCACACTTAAGAGAGGTGGGCAGGCCTTCAGCTCTCCTGCACCCCAGCCTGACAGGTCAGTGTGTCTGGGCGATGCTTTCGGGCACGGGGTAGGGTTGTCAGGGTGCCCTGTGCAGAGCTAGCAGCTGGACTTGGTGATCCCTATGTGTCCAGCCTGGGATATTCAATGTTTCTGGCAGGCAGGAGCGACAAGGTGGAGCTGGGGCGATGCAGGAGGAGCAGGGTGTGCTCATTGCTCCTCCACGTGCTGCCTCTGGCAGTTTTCCACTGTCTCTGCATGGCTGTCCCAGAGCCTGGAGCTGCTCCTGGCATACGAGCACGGGGCTGTGAGGGGTGTCCCGAGGCAGCAGCTGCTGCAGACAGGAGCGCCAGAACATGCTGTGCTCCTGTCTGTGCTCCAGCCTGCAGCCAGCACCGCAAGGACTCAGCCTGGAGAAGTTCCCACCAGCTGGAGGTGATGAGGAAGAGGTGATGCTGACACCCCAAAGACCTTCTCCAAGGCCTTGGGAAGGTTTTCCAAAGGGACAACGGGCCAAGCAGGGCCCACTGGTGAATGAGATGGAGGCTGATGCGCCATGTGTTGGCACAGTGGGCTAATTAATCACGTGGCAGAGAGGTGGTGAGGCTGGCAAAGTTAATTAGGCAGCGCTGATGGTGAGGTGGATACATGGCAGCAATTAAAAGTACCAGGATCAAAGGACTGCAGAAATAAAAGAAAGTGAAGAATGTGTGCCTTTGAGGAAGGATGGCACCTGTGAAGCTTTCAGAGCTTGGAAGGTAGCAAGGGATGTGCTATGACTGCGAATGGTCATTTCCAGCTTTTTGGGGTTTCACTGGAAACTGTAATTTACTGTTTTACCCATTAGAATGAGCAGCCTTCCTTCTCTTCTCTAGTGCTGGGTTCTGTTGGGTCCCACCCTCTTTTTTTTTTTTTTTTTTTTTTTTTCGTTTTAATTTTTTTTTTTTTTTTTTGTTTTAATCTTTTATGTCATTCTGACTTTCACTAT